AAAAAAAAAAAAAAAAAAAAAAATGCTTTCTTCCCACCAATCTCTCTTCATTCCCACCATCGTCAACTCATCCCTTACCTTCTTTGCAGCTGCTATAACACGTAGCAGTGGTGTCAATAGCGTCTGTTCAACTGCTGGGTTCTTCGCACGGATCTGTCTACCTCTTCCCCCGCCAAAGTATTCCGCTGAGCCAGATTAACGTTTAAGTCTCCTCTTGGGCTTTAACATTGCTGGGCACCGGAACCCACCAAGGCTGTCAGCCTCTTGCTGAAGAACGCACGTTTTCCTTTGGCCTTCAGTCTTACTTCCATAAAGCGCCACACGAATCCCATCTCGGTGACATCACCCACCCGCCAGCTCGCAGTACTAACTGCCCTTATCACCTCCGCTTCCCCAGGTGGACAGCCACCACGCTCCTGTTTTAAGGCCACCCGTTCTATGAAGCGCCCCTGAGATGGGGGAAGACCTTGCCCTTCATCCACTGGTTTCTTAGGTAATTTGGTTCGCACCCCTCCCTGTGCTCATCTTATGGCACCTGAGGGTTTCACCGCCCACTAACCAATTATTTTAGCTATCTCTTTTGTTATTGACTTTCAATTACACCACACTGAGGTCAGGGTGTGGTCTGAATGGTATTGATCTGGGGGTGTTCTGACTTTCTCTGTGGCACAGTACCGTAATCCGTTTTGGGAAACACACACACATGTGCTTGGAAAGAATGTTTAAGTTTTTCTAATTTCTGGGTTGGGGGTCTACATATGTCCATTATGTACATTTGGTAACGCTTTATTTTATCAGTGTCAGATAGGGGAATGGTGCTCCCCGCCATGACTGCAGTTTTGTCCGCTGTGCCCCCTGCAATGCTGACAATTTTTCTTGAGCATTTTGAGGCTAATGTTGCTAGAAGCGTACAGATGCGGGACCGTTCTGTCATCCCGGTACGTTGTTTCTCTTTTCATTAAGTACTGACCTTTATTCTTTCTGTGGCTGTCTGCCTTAAAGTCAGCTTGGTCTGATACTGAAATTGTAATACCTGCTTTCTTTTGGTCAGCATTCACCTCGTGTCTTTTTTCATTCCTCTATCTGCCACCTTTGCATGTTGTGCTTTAGGTGTGTCGCTTGTTAATTACATAGAATTGGAATTCTAAAAAGCAAAACCTCGCTCTTTCAAAAGATGTATTTAATCGTCTGATGACTGTTTTTGCACCCCTCCCCTCAGTATTAAGCCTGTTTTCTCCTTTTTTTTCCTCCCTCCCTCCCTCCTTTCCCTCCCATGAAACCCGGGTCTGCAGCAGGAGCCAAGGGCGGAGAAGGCTTACGAGCCTTGCCTGGGGGCTGTCCTGACTTTTACCACCGAGGAGTAAGATCAGAGGAATTTGAAAGGAAGAACCCAAATCACAAACTATATACGGATTTGTAAGTGGGGAAGACAGGCTGAAGGAGGTCTGCATGAGGTCGCCGTCTTTCCCTCTCTGTGGCCTGCATGGACATGCTCTCCCCCCACCCCTACTCCTGATACCCTGGACAGTGGTGATGGGGGCAAAGCTCTAAGGGCTCTGCCCACCGGCTGTGACGGGGGTGGCTGGAGTGTAGGGGCATAAAAACCCCCAAGGATGCTTGTTTATCAGAGGGTTTTATGAGGCTGAAAATACCTAGTCCAGCGCCCCAGCCCGATCCCAGCTGGAGAGTCCCGTTGAGGGTTTATGTAATTCCGAGAGGATCTGTCTGGTCTAGGGAAGGGGGGAGTTGGGTTGGAAAGGCTTTCGCTCTGCTTTCTTCAGAAACATGATGATTAGCAGAAAGTGCAGGTGACAGAACAGAGGGACATCGGAGTTGACACCGTGAGGTTGCAGGAGACACGGTGCCACCAGACAGGAAGCCTGGCCCGTGAGCGCAGTGCATGGGGCTGGGCTGTCACTTGCTGGCACAGACATTTCTGGAGCACGTGCAGCTCCCCGAGTTCTGGGAGGACCTGGCCCTTGGATGCTTAAGGGGTCAGCCCCGCAGGGCATGACGAATCACAATCAGCCCTGGATTTGGGGGACGTTTCTTACATTCTAAAGGCTTCTCCCCATCCATGGCTCCTGTGATTTTCGCCATAGGCATCTTGTTACTGATGGCCCTGGAGTCAGGGCGAGGAAGTGACTTGGGAGTCCGACAGGCAGGAAGACGAATTGAGAACAGAAGATCTCAACCTAGAACTGCGCCAGCCCGCACGTGTGTTTGGGGCTTCATGGAGCAGACACGTCCCTCAACACGAAGCATTAGAATTCGGTGACTACAGCGACACACTGGGGCCCCAGAGCAGCTGAGGGAATCGAGAAAAGGAGGTGATGGGGTGTAAAGAGGCCCCACGCAAGGCTGGGAACGAGGGAAGAGGGGAGAAAGGGATTCCGTGAGGAATTATTTCCTGGCAACCGTGATCCATAGACACAGGGCAGATCATTAAAGGAGGTGGTGCCATTGCCTTAGGCGGGTAAAAAGTCGAGTCTGAGATTATACCAGTCAGAGGGCAGTGGAGTGAGAAATGTGTGGTTTCGATACAGAAACCAGTGGCCCCTGGACCATCTCTTTGACCCGAATTATGTTTTCAAAATAATTGTGACTTCGAGCACCTTTTAGACAGTGTGCGCGCTGCCTGTTCGAAGTTCACCTCTGTCCTCGCCACTCGCGACTGTCTCCACCTGCCTGTCTGCACTTATCTGTTACCTCTTAGTTCTCTACAGGCATCTGAGTTTGTCGCCTTGGACAGAAGGCTCCACCCGCCCTCCTTCAGCCTGGAGGCTGTAGTATTCGTGGTTTTGTGGGCACAGGTGGACCAGGTAGCTTATCTCTATGACGCCTCTTTATGGTCCCAAGGCTGTAGCCTTATCTAGGCCCTGTAATTCAACAGAGGGAGAGGAAAGGAAGAATCTACAAGGCCTGCTGATTGTCTAGGGAAGACGAGGGGGAAACAGGAAGCCGCGGATGACAGTGAGTTTGGCTTGGTCGACCGGGTACCAGGTGATGATGGGGTTTTGCATGACAGCAGCTGGGGACAATAAGTTCAACTTTGGAGACGCTGGGTGCGCGGGTCCTGCGGAACACCCAAGTAGAGACATATGGATGGTGGCCGGACCCGTAAGAGTAAGTTCGGGAGAAAAATCTAGGCAGGAGATCAACCTGGGCATCACCAGCAAACGGACGGAAAATAAAGCCATGGGCATGGGGCAGAATCCCCAGAGAGAGTGCGCTAAGTGAGAAGAAAGGGTGCCCTAGAGATGGAGCGCCGGGGGACATCAACATTTCAGGACGGGCCGTAGGACACAAACCTGCAGAAGGGCCTGTGAAGAAGCAGATGGAAGGGGGAGGAAACCAGGAGAGGCCAGTGGCCAGAAAGAGAAAGCGAGGGCTTCTAAAGGAGAGAGCGGTGAGAAGCGTCAGCTGCTGCCTTCGAGGTGCAGCTGGCCCTCCGCGTCCTGCCACCCCACCATGGCTGAGTTCGCAGATGCGGAACCTGCAGATGCAGGATCCGTGGATACTGAGGGCCGACTGTGGTACTCGAGCATTCGAGGATTTTGGTATCCGCTGGCGGGTCCTGGAACCATTCCCCCGCGGACACTGTCTTTATCATGTACTTATATATTTAAAGCGTTTGGAGAACAGCATGGGATTATATCCATGGTTGGTTTTCAAAACGGTTACCCATCAGACAGCTCATTGGGAAAACGTGTTGTAAACCTGCTTCTTGATAGAGTACCTCTCTCAGGTATGAGCTTCCCTGACCTCCTCCTCGCCTCCGCCAGTCAGACCTGGGGGGCTGGGGCTGCTGCACAGTTACCTGCAGACAGCTCACCCGAGGCAACAGGCACTTCCGGGTACCACCGGGTGCAGTGCCACGCTCTAAGGCACTAGGTGTCGGCTTACCTGGCGCTCTCAAAGGTAGCAGATGCCGTCTTTTCTACAGCCCCAAATGCAACTCCAACAGCAAGACCCTCTGAAACAGACATAAAAAAAGTACGATGGGTTGGGAATCATTTTTCTATAATACATGCATGTAGAATAGAAGCTTGCTCAGAAGCCAAAGCCAGCAGACTCTTGTGGGCTGGATTAGCATTGCTGTCCGTTCGGGGCTGGGTGATGGCCTGACTCGCTTGGTGGGGGAACCCCTGGGACACCATGGAACAAGTTACACACTTCATCACATTGGCAAATCCCCTGGTCTTCTTTGCATACTTTGTAGTTACTCAACAGGCTTATACTTAATCAGCTGTTAAGAGCAAGCAGTTTCTTCACGTCTTCCATAAGAAATCAGAACAACAGTATTTTGATGTGATGCAATACAGGTTAAAAGCAGATCTTGCTAAGGCTAATCTCTGAAATGGGTGCACCGCTGTATTTGCAAATGCAAGTAAAAGAACTCCATTAAAAAATGGATCTTAGGGCTTCCCTGGTGGCGCAGTGCTTGAGAGTCCGCCTGCCGATGCAGGAGACGCGGGTTCGTGCCCCGTTTCGGGAGGATCCCACGTGCCGCGGAGCGGCTGGGCCCGTGAGCCATGGCCGCTGAGCCTGCGCGTCCGGAGCCTGTGCTCCGCAAATGGGAGAGGCCACAACAGTGAGAGGCCCGCATAACGCAAGAAAAAAAAAAAAAAAGGGTTCTTACATTTTGGGGCCTCCCGGGGTGGTCCAGTTGTAAAGACTCCCCCTGCCAATGCAGGGGACACAGGTTCGAGCCCTGGTCCGGGAAGATCCCACATGCTGGGGAGCAACAAAGCCCGTGCACCACAACTACTGAGGCTGCACTCTAGAACCTGCGAGCCACAACTACTGAGCCCACTTGCCACAACTACTGAAGCCCGCGTGCCTAGAGCCCGTGCTCCGCAACAAGAGAAGCCACCGCAGTGAGAAGCCCGCGCACCGCCACGAAGAGTAGCCCCCGTGCGCCACAATGAAGACCCAATGCAGACAAAAATAAATAAATAAATTTATTTTTAAAAAATGGATCTTAGGGGCTTCCCTGGTGGCACAGTGGTTGAGAGTCCGCCTGCCGATGCAGGGGACACGGGTTCGCGTCCCGGTCTGGGAAGATCCCACATGCCGCGGAGCGGCTGGGCCCGTGAGCCATGGCCGCTGAGCCAGTGCGTCCGGAGCCTGTGCTCCGCAATGGGAGAGGCCACAACAGTGAGAGGCTTACATACTGCAAAAAAAAAAAAAAAAAAAAAAAAGGATCTTACATTTTTAAATGTCATTGGATTTTCCATTATGTGTTGCTTTTGCAACTAGAAACTAGAAGTTTTTGAGTCCCAGAGTTCATTTGAATTTGACTGTTTTAATCCTTTTTATTAATTAAAAAATGCTTGCCAAAAAAAAAAAGGTTCATCCCCATCACTACATCACGTAAGATTGCACGAGGCTGCCAGTAACAGAAAGTCCACAGAACAGTAGCTTCAACCAAGGGTCAGCAGACTATAGCCCAGGGGCCACATCCAGCCCATGGCCTGCAAGCTAAAAATGATTTTTTTTAAATTTATTTATTTTTGGCTGCACTGGGTCTTCATTGCTGTGCACGGGCTTTCTCTAGTTGCGGCAAGTGGGGGCTACTCTTCATTGCGGTGCACGGGCTTCTCATTGCGGTGGCTTCTCTTGTTGCGGAGCACGGAGTCTAGGCGTGCAGGCTCAGCAGTTGTGGTGCACAGGCTTAGCTGCTCCGTGACATGTGGGATCTTCCCGGGTCAGGGATGGAACCCGTGTCCCCTGCATTGGCAGGCAGATTCTTAACCACTTCGCCCCCAGGAAAGTTGTAAGAATGATTTTCACATTTTTAAATAGTCAAAAAAATTTTTGACTATTTCATGACACATGAGAATTATATGAATTTCAAAATTTACTGCCCATAAATAAAGTTTTATTGGCACATAGCCATGGTTGTTTGTCGATGAACTAACTGTCTGTGACTGTTTTGTTTGACTCTTTATGTGAGCAGATTGTAATGAGAGACCAAATGGTCTGAAAACCTAAAATATTTACTATGTGGCCCTTTAAAGAAAGAGTTTGATGACCCCGGATGCAGGGGACACGGGTTCGTGCCCCGATCTGGGAGGATCCCACATGCCACGGAGCGGCTGGGCCCGTGAGCCATGGCCGCTGAGCCTGCGCGTCCGGAGCCTGTGCTCCGCAACGGGAGAGGCCACAACAGTGAGAGGCCCGCGTACCGCAAAAAAAAAAAAAAAAAAAGCTAGGCAGAGACTGACCAGGAGTTTCCTGACATCAGAGAGGCAAATCTCTCCCTTTGAAAAAACTTGCTTTTCTAAACCATAAGCAACAGCTGGTGGCTCTTTTGTTAAAGATTTTGCTCTAATTAGTCATTTTAAATGTTAATGATAGTGCGGTCCTGAGGACAGGACTTAACGTTAATTGGCAAACTAACCCTTTCTAGCTATTTAGCACGCAGCCAGCAGCACTTGGTTTACTAATGCTCACAAAGGCTCATTAGGTTACCCAACTAATGCAGGAGAGAAAGGGCTCGCCCACAATGACACAGCATCAAGGGGCAGAACCAGGCTTGACCCTCAGTCCCCACCCCCGGCCCCCCACCACCCCAGGTGGCTGACATGGGCTGTGGTTTTCTCCCAGGTGTGGGCGGCAAGGGCTGGCATCTGAATATCTGTATCCTAAAGAGGTTGCGGGCAAAGTGAGCACAACCTGCCTCTGCCCAGCCCTGTACCCTGGCCACGCCCACAGCGGGCACCACGCCCCTCCCACCCGAAGATAGTGTAGTAGTGCCCCCCCACCCCCACCCCCCGCCAAACGCACACCACGTGGTGCCTTAGGAGGTGGCCAACTCCGTCTCCCCCTGGATTTAGAGTAAAGGAGAGGAAGAAGACGTAATGGAGGAAGGGAATGTAATTGTTACCATCTCTGAAGGTGGAGGGATTACCTGAGAGCGAAACTAATGCGAAACCAAGACAAACGACCCACGCGGCAAGAACATAAATAAGGGACAGTCTCCAGGCAGACACTGGAGATCACCAGATGGTAGAAGGAACCCGCGGGGTGAACGAGAGCAGAGGAAAAAGTGTGCCGGGCGTCCACACCCCCAGGTCTTCCACCAAAAGTGCACATTAGGGAGGTAATTAAGACAAGAATCCAAAGTGGCTGCAATACTGTTAGGAAGCCGGACCTCTTTTCACAGCTCTGGCCATTAACTGAGATGCAGACCGAAGGAAAACAAACTTCCAAACCTGGGGTCATAAGCCCCCGGGATGCAGGGTGAGGCAGAGTCCTAAGGGCAAGCTTGAGAATAAGCTCTAAAGCTGATTCTTGCAACCCCACACCCCTGCTCCAATCTGCTCAGGGTTGGAAGGTGGGTGTGGCTGCCTCTCTCCATCCCCCATCCCTCCTGAATCTCCGTCTCTCATCCTTCGGGCGCGGTGGGGATGGGGGCGCATGGGCTTTTTGTTGAGACGGACCTGGGCTCAAATCCTGGTATATTATTTAAGGTTCTTGTAAAAAGGAAAGAAGGATGATAATGCTTTGCTTGCAGGATGGTGTGTACACAGCAGAGATTCTCACTACCGACATTTTGTTGTGAGAGGTTGGCCTGTACAGCCCAAGATGTTGAACAGCATCCCTGGCCTCTGCTCACTCGATGCCAGTAACACCTCCTCCCCCCAACCGTACCCTCCCATCAAGGGGTACTTTTCACAGAAATTTTCAATTATTCTAGAACACTCTTGGAGTTTGCATAGGTGGTCGGAAAGTGAACGCTTAAAAACTAGTGTCTTAGCCCATCCAGGCTGCTATAGCAAAATACTGTAAACTGGCTTCTGGGTGGCTTAGAAACAACAGAAATTTATTTCTCACGGTTCTGGAGGCTACAAGTCCAAGATCAAGATGCTGACAGACTGGGTGTCTAGTGAGAAACTGCTTCTTGGTTCTCAGATGGTGCTTTCTCTCTGTGTCCTCACATGCTGGAAGGGGCAAGGGAGCTTTCTCGGGCCTCTTTTTTAAGGGCGCTAATCCCCTTCCTGAGGGCTCCACCCTCATGACCTAAACGCTTCCCAAAGCCTCGACCTCCTCATACCATCACTTTGGGGGTTAGAATTTCAACATATGAATTTGGGGGGCCAGATGCAAAACATTCAGGCTATAGCAAATAGTATTTTCTTTTTTTCAATTGAGGGCTTAGAAGCCCTTAGTTTGAAGCACATGGGGTGGAGCTCACAGGTCTTCTGTAAGAGACTCTCCAGCCTCCAAAAACAGTGACGCCTATGTGATTGCGGCCTTGCCTGACATTCATGGGCATCAGGGTCCCATGGGCGGATGGGAAGGAACGCCTGTGTGGGGTAGAGAGAAAGGGGGTTATCTTGGTCCAGCTGAAATCCCTGCTGGGGTGGAGACAGGGCAATCAGAGCTGCTGTGGGGACATCCTGCTTCCTCCTGCCTGGCTGTGCTCCTCTGCGTGTGGGTCCAGCTGTCAGATGATCTCAGCAAGAGTGGGGCTTCTGCAATGGAACTCAGTGGTCTGACCAGGGTTGAAGCCTGTGGTGTCTCATTTCTCTTGTTCTGGGTAACAACAGCAATGCAGGAAATGAGCAGCGATGTCATGCCTTTTTTCCCTATTTAACTGTTGCTTTTTTTTTTTTTTTTTTTGGAACTATAGAACAGCAATTTCTCATGATCCAACCTAATGAGTTCTGGAAATCTTTTTTTAATATTAAATTTAAGACAGCCGCTAACATCTCGTGGGGGTTGAATAAATATTCAACACAGCCACCAACAATGACAACAACAAACCTCAGAGCTGGAGAGATGGGGGATTCTCTGACAGTCCAGTGATTAGGACTCAGAGCTTTCGCTGCCATGGTCCGGGTTCGATCCCTAGTCGGGGAACTAAGATCCCACAGGCCGTGCGGCCAAAAAAAAAAAAGGTGGAGAAATGACGCGAAACAAGATAGCTTACTCGTTCCCTTCTCCACTGAGGACAGAACAAGAGAA